CCCCTCAACCCCGCTCTCTTCTCGCCCCCGCTGCAGGGTGAACCCGGGTTTCCAGGAGCAGCTGAAGCTCTACGAGGCCCTGGGCTGCGCCGTGGACAGCAGCAGCGCCCTGTACAAGTGGTACCGGCTGCAGATGCTCACGGAGAGGACCCCCGGTGCGGGGAGTTTTTTTGGCGGCCTTGAGCCGGGGCGGGTGCTTGGGGGCGAAGCTTGGGGCAGGTCTCCCAAGGAGGGTGGTCCCAGGTAGGACTAGTCTATCCTGAAATGAACACAGAAGGCCACGTCGGAAGTGGTTGACTTTTGAGTATTGCCCTCAAAAAGCAGCTGAGCCCTGAGTTGGCTAGGCAAACATTCACACTGTACTGATTCTAGAGAACTGTAGCTCATCAGTGGGGAAAAAAGTGTCTTTGAGACATGCATGAGAAATAAGATCCATAAGGAACTGTTCTCTTTAGCAAAATGCAGAAATGGTAGAGGTCAATTTGATATGTTCCTTGATTTTTATGTACCTGGCTAGGCAAACTTAACAGCCTCTAAAAAGAAATCAGTGAAATAAAAAAAATAAAAATAACAAACGTAAAACTGAGATAAAGTTGAAATCAAGGTATGAAGTATGAACTTTCATACTTTAATTTGCAAAATGTTGACTGTAGTAGATATGTGTCCATGTGTGTAATTTTGTAATAAATAATAATCTGCAGCTGTTTTGCAAGATCTCAGTCTTGCATATTCAGCATGACAGTGCTCTCTCCCTTTATGTGTCATTCTCCTTACCTTAGCAGTTCCAATTCATAAGCTGACTTTCTATATTTTGTGCACTAAAAGATTGGCAGACCTGTTGTAACTCCTCCTTACAAACATAAAGTAAAACACAACTATTCTACCATTGCTAAGGCAAAAGTCTAGATCTCAGTTCCTTGCATTAAATGAATCGCAATCTTAGGTGTGGTGGGATAAGGCTTTCATTTTTAGCTTGTCTAATGGAATGGGTGAGTGGGCAAACGAATGCAAAGAAGGTGGCTTCTGCATGCCATGGCTGGGCAGAGGCGCAGCGCTGTCTTGTCCCACAGAAATGCAGCGTGGCTGCGTTGATCTGATTCACAACTTCGTACTGACCCCTCTGCAGAACTTCAAGACTTGCCCCGAGAAGTCTTTGCTGTTGATCCAACCAGTATATGTCAAAGTCCAAATGCAGAGGTTCTCTACAGGTGCAGGAAATGCAGGTACTGAACCTTTTCTGTTTCTCCATAAAATGTCATTCTGAAATTGACCCAAAGAAAAATAGCCTGTGTAAATCAACGGGCATGTCATTGTTGTCAGGACAGGGATGAGCTCTTGCCTAAGTTTCCATATATCGTTTTTGTGCCACAAAAAGTCAGACAAATAGAAGTATCTTATGAAATACAAAACTTCTTGTTCCTTGAAGTTGTGCAGCACTTGTGCAGCCTAACCTGCTGTGTTCTACAGGCAGGCATAATTCCACTTGGCTCTGTGAAGTTGCTTGCTCTGAAACCATAACATCTAGTTTGTTTTTTGCCAGTCAGTTTCTCCAGGATAAAATTCCTGTAGATTTTGGGGTTTCCTGAATTTTAACTACCTTTTATGGATTACTTAAAGTGAAATTGAATAATCCTGCTATTTCCTAGGTGTAGGTTTCTTCAAGTAAATGAGCGTAGATTTAAAGTTTTAGTAGGCAGGAATTGTTTAAAAATAGATCTATATAAAAGACAGCGTACAGCTGTAGGGCAGAGCCCAAAACTACACAAATCACTAGGTTTGTTAAGAAGCAACCCTGAATGGACCCAGTGCCTGCTGACCTTCTAGACTAAAAAAACATAGGATTTGTAATCCTGCTTACTTACTTACTGTCAAGAGGTCCATGTCCATGTTTTCTATTGTCTGTACATTTCCCCAGTAAAAAAAACTATTTTACTTCTTTTTCCCCCTCTGTCATGGAGGGCAGGCGTGCTCTGTTCCGTAGTTCCAGCATTTTGTCCCACATGGAAGGAAGCGGACCGACAGCCTTTGCCCACAAGAGGATAACAGACTCTGCTCAGCTTTGTAGCAATGGCCGTGAAAAGTGTACCTCTTACTTCACTGAGCCCGTGCAGTGGATGGAGCCAGCGTTGCTCGGAGTAATGGAAGGACAGGTGGAGCATTGTGCTTTATTTTTTGGATGTTTTTGTGGGTTTTTTTTTGCAAAGGCAAACCAAACCATTTCTGTTCCCTGATGCAAAAGCCCCCATGCAAGGACCTAGGTCTCCCAGCCTTTCTTGTGTGAATTTTGCAGCTTACAAAGATTCTTAAATATCCTTTTCTAAGGAAATGAGCTGGTGATCTTGTTGGACCAAGAACACTAGCCAGAGTGTTTTTTCTGCTGTTTGTTTTTTGTATGAGAAAGAGTTTGTGTGACTTACAAAACCTGTTGTGGTCTCAGGCTGACTGAGGCTTTCTGGAGACTGGCAAAACAGTCCTGGAACCACACTGGGTCTGAGCAGCTGCCTGCTACACCCTAGGGTACGGCAAACACCAGCCATGCCCGTTTAGCTTTTTTGGCCTGTTTTTCAGCCCGTTCACCTTCTGTGAAGTCTTATGAAGGAATAAGCTGGCTCAGCACAGGTTGCCACAACTTAACATACCACAGAAGTACCTTTTAAATAGACCTACATCTGTGCGCACTGTTGAGTGGGTCATGTGTTTTTCTTGCAGCTTCTGTGTCCCAAATGCACGTCGAAGCTGGGCTCCTTCAGCTGGCGGGGCGAGCAGTGTTCCTGCGGCCGCTGGGTGACGCCTGCCTTCCAGATTCACAAAAGTCGGGTGGATGAAGTGAGGACACTGCCCTTTGGTAACTTCCAAGCTGCCAAAACCTGAACTCATTGTTTCCCTTGGTGAATTTCTTAACATCCACAGAGAGCTGCTGGCTTGTCTGTGGTTGCCAGGAGTGAGCTTGTGACTTCCACCCTGTTGTAATGCAGTGGAATTACTTGAACATGTGCTCTATTCAAGATTTCTGTATCTCTAATATATATGAAATAGCAAAATACTTCTTTCAAAGAGGTGTTACACAGTGGCCAAATATGTACAAAAATGCCTGAATGGGATTTTTTAGTATATTCTCACTTAATCTGTTGCTATTTACAGGTGGTCTCAAAACTCCGTATTTAAAAGGAATGCTAACATGTTACTTTCAGGCTGTGGTCAACAGCACTGCTTTTTTTTTCCGATCCAGAAGTTTCAGTCAGTTTTCCAAAACACACAGCTGAGAGTTTAGGAGGTATATTCCACATGAAGTACAAGGCAGGGAAATACTTCAAGGCTTTGAATGTGCCATAAAACGATACAATTAACAGTTGTTGCTTTAGCATGCACGGCAGCTACTAGCAGCAAAAGGCAAGTTCATCTTACAGCAGTATTACAATAAAAGTAGTCGTAAAAATCTCTACCCCAAGAATACTTATTACATTATAACTCTGTAATGTAATGTCTGAGGAGACTATGCAAGTTGTACCGGAATGAGAGAACTGAAGTAAACGGTCTCTGCCAAGTTGCTGCTTACAAGTTTAAAGAAATCCCTAAAATGATGAAGCAAGCTGCGTACACCACTGTGGCACAGGTTTGGTTTGACAGAAGAAAACAGGATAGAAAGACCTAGTTTAAATCCATTTTATTCTCATTGACTCCAACATTTTTTAAAATTTTTTTTTTTAAACACAATTTCCAGCAACATACGTTATGAAATATACAAGATAAAGTAGGTGGTGGGGTTCTGCCCATCTTTTCATTCCTTCCACAGCTGTGGAGGGAAGAACTTGCAGGACACAGTGAACATCAGAATCTCAACACTGAAAACAGACACAAAACAAAACAAAAAGACAAAAATATATATGAAACTGTTTGAACCGGTCACACTTCAGGGCCAGGTACAGCACAATAAATATTAGAACTGCATTATCTTAGACATCTAACGTAAAGTTTATAACATCCTCGTTGAAGAGATAAGAACATCTCGTCTCTAGCATGAAATGCTACATAGTACAGTGTTGAAGGGTACGAACGACGATGAATGCAGCAAGGGCTTGAATGGTGATTACTCATTCACACATGCTCATTGGTAAAATAAGCAGCATACACCGAAAGTTTAGTGAGCTGTAAACTTAACCATCCACTACCAGAATGTGAGCTGGAGGAGTAGCTCCTTTTGGGAGAACCAGAAATAGTCAATCCCTTTAAGTTTCTCCCTGACAAACAGCGAGTTGATACTATAACAGAAGTGGCAGCATTTGGTCCGTAGCACAAGATCCCTTTGCATCGCTACTGTTCAAAGCTGGCAGCACCGCAGTGGAAATACTTCAGTGCAGAACTAACACTTACATAGCCGTGCCGCTACCATGGTGTCACCAACAATGGCTACTATTTCATGACCGTAACAACGGAGTAGACGTCAGCTGGAACCCAGCTGGGCACAGAGTGCTGCACAACCAAGCAGCAGAGGGAGAGACTGCAAAGAGGGATGCCAGCATTTCTCACTCTGCAGCAATGATACGAGTGCTGAGCTCTTGGGAGTTTGACGGAAAGGCTGTTCTATGCTCATTCCTCATCTCATACTAGTTTTGCCAATAAACAAGCCTAAGAACAGCAGTTTCAGCTGCTTGACAGAGTGCTTCCAGAGCACAAAGCAGAAGACCAGAGTCACCGGTTTCTCTTGCATCATAATCAACAAGGCAGGAGTAAATACATTTTGTACTTGTCAACCTTCCCCCCCCTTCATCCCCCACCCCCAGAACTGTAGCATCATACATGCCTCAGATGAGAGCTGGGGACCTTCTGTGCCACTGCCAAAGAGGCCACGTGAGCATGGGTGGAGGAAGAAGGTTAAGCACACGCTTTCCTTTCCTTAGTGTGACCTGGGCATTGTGCTGGGAGGCAACCATACTGTCAGACAGAGCACTGAGAAAGGACTCTGTTGCTGGGCTGCACACGTGGCATCACCATAACTTGCTATCTATGTCCTGCGGTACATGGCAGCAGTCACAAGCTTCACAAACTAAAGCAGCTGAGTGTCATGAAATTTTATGGGATGAGTGGGAGGCAAGAAGGTAAAATTCTGCTGGAAGCTGAGCACTTATGGCTTTGATTTTACCTGATGCTGAGTCCAACAGTCCTGTCTGTCTTAAGTAGGAAAATAAAATTCTATTTCTCCGGTGTACAAAAGTATACTGGTTGCATGTATGTGCTCATCTTCTAGTTAGTCCCTTCTCAAGAGACCCAGAACTGCCACATTTCAATACCAACACACTCAGCTGAGGGTTGCAGAAGACTAGTGAAGAATTTTTGGTTGTATCAACATGTCATCAGAATATGGTGAAAAACTGAGAATAGGGAATTCTACACCATGACAGTCACTTAGCAAAGTGCCAGATGTAAATGCCCTTACTACTGCCAGCTCAGAATGTACCGCGTGACTGCATTAAGACCTACACCTCCTCTGCCAATACAGCTCAACCAGTTACATCCCAAGGTGAAAGACCAGTTATCAAGAGAGCTGGGAGAGGCAAGGTGAAATTTTTCCCACCCTAGAAGTGTACAACAGCATTTCCTCACTCAACCAGGCCCATTCACACATCACTCACCATCTCAGGCACACAAAGCAATGCCAAACACAAACTAAGAGGAATGTTCTGTAAGGACACTCTCCAAGTATGAACAGGGAAAACATAGGGCTATTTATCAACTCAAGTACTGTTGCATCATTCTTGTAAGGTAGGGAAGCAGAGGAGTTGAGATGAGGAATTGAGAGGAGAAACTGGAGTGGTCACAGAGGTCGAGTCTAGTCTTCCAGACTGCGAAATGCATTCTGCATATCCTCAAACAGCTGAGCATAGTCCGCCTTGATTTTAGTTTCACCATCTTTGACAGGGTCCTGAAAAATAACACAGCAAATTAACAGATCTGTCAGGAAAAGTCTCAGGTACTTCAGACAACCCTGCTTTGCCAGTGCTGTAATTTCTCGACCTGAGGGTTAACAGTTGCTAACTGCAGAGCAGGCATTACAGCTCCATCTTCACCTCCTGTCTTGTCTCACCAATAGGCACAAGGTTTAAATCTCCTCACTCAGTGAGCAGGCAGAATGGATACTGGACAGAGATTTTTTCTTTTTTTTTTTTTCTTGTGGGCAGTGGTTACTTTATTGAAAAGCAACTGATTTGGAGAGGATTGAGTAATGCTGAGGGTCTTAGTTAATGCAGTGTGATTCAAGAGCTGCAGTGATTAGTACCAGCTCCCATCCCCAAACCAAACAGAGTAAGATTCTTTGTGACTCAGAAATGCTCTGCTATACTTTTTGGGGTGCATCCCCTGTAAGTGCAAGAGTTACTTTGCCATCACTAGGAGGTCGCTCAGTTCCAATTAAAATCTTATTGTGCAATCATAACAAGCTCAAAAACATCTTTGTACAGCTTCATTTTCTCAGACTACTTTTCATGAAAGACAAGGGCAGAAAATGTAACAACCAGCTTTGCTCTGAGGCTGCAAGGCCTTCCCTGTAAGCAGCATTAATTGCCAGGCTGTGAAATCCGTTCAGTGTCTGAAAAATGCCAGAACACTTCATGTTAAACGTAATTTTATCTTATGGTACTTGTTCTTAAAAGATTTGCAATATTGGCTTATAAGAGTTGTAACAGAGTAAGCATTATACTTCCATAGAGAATATTCCTTAGCTACTTCAACATCAGCCAGCATCACAGGTTACTGTCCTACCAGTAACTGCTACACCAGCATGCTCTGGATGAGTTTTAGGAAAGCTGTACCCTAAAAAGATGGCTACTGAAGTTACCCAGAGCAGGTACTCCAAGCCACACGTTGTCTCTTTAGCCCACATTAAAGTTACTCCTCCCTTCCTCTCCTCCTAGTTACCCGCCTTAGGTCCTGAAGTCCAACACAGGGCACATCAGGTATTACTGCAGGAGATCAGCATTTCTTTCCTTAACTTTTATTTAAAATAGCTCGATCAACATTTCTATCATTCACTTTTTAGCACATTCCTGGATTTAAACTTTAGGTTGCTTATATCTGCTAATAGTCTCCTTAGAACATGTTGTATTTGGTTTTTTTTTTACAGAACTTTATCACAAAACCCCCAAAACAAACAGGAAAGGTGCTTGTACTATTACCATCAATATATGTAAGAAACTACTGAAGGTGGGGTTGCCAAGGCTCTGCAGCCAGCGCCACCCCACTAGATTTCTGTATTGACCATTCCTGTGCTTACAAACTAAAACAGATTCTTAAGTATATTCAAAATGATTGCAAAAAGTCTCTGTCCTTTACCTAAGGCAACTGATGACCACCTCTGAGTAACAGCCTTTCAGAGGCACTGGAAGCTCACAAAAAGCAGCACAACCCAGTTCCTTACACACATACCTTGAACTTCATGGAGGTAAGTCTGTAGAGGATTTCGCTCATGTTCTCTCGGATGATGGACCACGTGATCTTGTTGTCACTCTGGGCTGTGGTTTCTACGGCACGGCGTGCCATGTCATAAAATGCAATCATATTGGAGAGCATTCCCACGGTTTTATAGAAAGGGCAGAACCTGATGGAACAGAAGAGGACCTGTCAGGCATCTTGGAACAGTTAACAGGGCAAGCCTTCACAACCACTCTGAATTCTCACCTGACAGAAAGAGTGCTAGCCTGCTTTACTCCAGATATTTTTAATACATACTGTATTAAAAGTAAGTCTCAGGAGAGAGACTGCCTCTGATAGGTTCCACATTTTTAAATAGGCGAATCATAGCCTGAGACAATCATCCTGACGTAAGGTTTCTAAAGCAAAACCCAAACACTGGGCAAAACAGGAGAGAACAGGAACATCGCTGTACAAGGCTCCCATTTTGATCTGTGCCAATGCTAACGAGAAGGGGAAAACACCAGAGCAGCCAACGGAATTCCTCCTTCCTGTTTTGTCCATCATGGGAGCAGGCTTCCTCCAAGCAGCCTGGGATGACCTGACAGCTCTGCAAGTTTCTTTGCTCACAGGAAAGGACATGTTGCTATGACAAGAGCACTCCACACACAAAAAAACTCAATTTTTAATGGGTAGCTGACTGCCACGGTATCTCATTATTATTTATACACTACATGGTGCTACTTCCTGTGCTTCTCTAATGGCATACACACATACCTGCCCCTAGTAACCTAATCAAAGGCACACACCGTTACAGAATGATGTACATCTAAATTTTTAGTGATGAAGTATTTAAGACCTCCTGATCTACCTGTGCTGGGGAGTGAGACGAAGTACAAAAGGCTGCTTGTCAGACTGTTAAAACACAAGGATAGCATGGAAAGAAGCAAAGCAGACAGGGATAATGAGCACTGCACTAGCAAAAAGATCCAGATAGTTTTTCTGATGCATCAAACTTACTCAAGAATTATGCAAGAGTAAATGAAAGCAGATTCTTGCAGTCCTCCACAAGTTGCTAGAATAAACAGGAAGACTTTGGGTGTTGACTGTGAAAATCAAGTGGCCCTCTCCTCCTCCTCCTAAGGAGGGCAGGCTATTGCAGAAATACTGGTTAACTGAAAAACAGATGAGGACTCGAGAAACTCGAAGGGTGTGAACTGCATTTGGAAAAGGTCTGCATGCCTGGGGTAAGACAACATGAATATGCTGTTTGATGGCCTACCTAAGCACAGTCCTTCCATTTGTTTATGGTGAGTAAAATTAATTTCTGCACTGATCCACTTCCAAATAAAATAGCTGTCTAAGTCCAGACTACACAGGACCAAAAGGGCAGAGTGGCCAGTCAGATCTCACCTGTCATAGGGAGTATAACCATTCTGTTGCAAGAAGTCGTCCTTTATCAGCTTGGCAACCTCCAAGGTAATTTTATCTGTTTCTGCCAAGGAAGCCTAGAAAAGTAAGGTACACTGTCAGTTTAGTACTCAAGTCCACAAGGACATGGTATGTCCTGGCCAAGAACCATTATCTTTCAGGACCTGTCTTCTTCCCACCCTCTTAAGATGGCTTCCAGCAGAATTCTGTCTTTTTGGCATTTCTCACTCCCTGATATAGAATAAGCCAATTTAATTGATGGCCAATCTAAGATGGGCCAAACAGTCAATAAGCATACTTTAAGTTTATCTGGTGATAAACAATGGAAAGGAAGTTTCCTTTAAGATAATGAAAAAGCCACTGGACACAGAAAACGTAGCTGCTCTGCTATAAGGTACACTGAAACATCACCTTCCTACATAAAGAGGTACATTAATTTTTACCTTCCTCATGGAAGAAAAACTAGATCTTAGCATGCTAGATCAATAAGTAATCTTAAGGATTTGATACGAGCCTCCACAGCTACCAAGGGGCTTTCCCTGTTTGGCATTCAAGAAAAGTAAAGAAGTTGACGAGAAACGCCTGCCATAATCTGCAGGACAGCCACAACCCTGCTGCACACTGCTGTTGGCACCACAGGTCACTCTTCTCTGCCTTCATCGTCCTTTTGCTAAAGGGGGCAGACTGAGTTTTAAGTACCCCAGCTTGCTTTCCAGACAGGAAGTTTGGATCTTCTTCCACGAGAAGACTAACAGAATTCAGAGCTAAAAACAAAAAAAAGCCACGTATCTGATTGTTTTGCCGCAATTCCCCCTTTCTAAAGGTTTGCTGCCCAGGCTGAAAGAAACTGTTAAAGGTAACATCTTTGAGAGCAAGATCACCAGTTCCAGTACTTCTATCATGGGAATAATGCCTAGTCACAAGCACAGGCTTATCAATATCCCTTCCACACCAAGGAACTGATTCTACCCTGCTCTGTACATTAGTCTTTAAGAACATGATTTTGTAAATAGAAAACTGCAGAAGGCCCTAAGATCCCATTTCCTTTTCTTTGAAAACACGTCTAGAGAAAGAGAGCTCTGCTAGACAAGATCTGGTGAAAGACCTCATCTTGGCAGGGCTAGAACATCAGTGAATTGGGAGAGCACCAGGAGCAAACTTCCTCCAAATAACTGCAGTCAATACATATTACCACACACTACTAGCACCTTGTAAATCAGCATAGCTCATCCAAACACCATGGGATTAAATTACTGGCAAGTATGTGCGAGGCATCTGTCAATTACCATATTTACAGTGCTAAGCTGAAACACAGTTTTCACTGGGTCCCTTTTGAGAGCTCTCAAGGGAAATTTTCCTGTTCAAGTTCAGCTTTCTCTCCAAAACAGTGAAGTGAATGAAGGAAATTAAAGAATGCCTGTAAAATGGAGGCATATGTCGTGTCACAGGTTTCCAGAGAAACTAGGTAATCACCAGTTTTTAGAAAAAGCAGACATCATTTCTGTTTCTACAGATCAGCTTGTAAATGCCACCACCTCTATTCTGCAGCTGGCAACATGGTTGCTAATAAACTGTAACCCTTCAGATGACTTCAACAGTAAAGATCAGTTTGCATCGCTTCTCTTACAAAGATTACTTCCAATGGAGTACTATTGTAAGTTGCAGCAAAGGGTATTTCAGCAGACTAGAACACTGAAGCAAGTGAAGTTTCTTAACTCCAGTATTAGATGCCTGCAATCTAATTTACATGAGAAAAGCAGCATCAAGCCAAAGTTTATCAAATGTAAAAAACTATTTGTCATTAGAAGGCAAACAAGATGTTTTGCTGGAAAGCTGTTTTGCTGAAAAAGCTGGAATAAAGCACAGTTAGAGGCAGGAGCGTCTGACATCTCCCAGTGACCATCTGCCTTTTTTGCACAATGCAGTATCCATCAAGTCTGGTTTAAGACATGGTCAAAAGCCTGTACTAGCAGTAAGGAAATGGAGGATGGCTCACTGACACCACACTTCCTCACAGCTGGTTGCTCACCTTCCCCACAAGCTGCACAATTTCTGCAAGGTCCTCTTCCTCCTGTAGGATCTCTTTGGCCTTTGTCCTGAGAGGGACAAACTCTGTAAAATGCTTGTCGTAGTACTCATCCAGGGCACGCGTGTATTTGCTGTAACTGATCAGCCAGTTGACAGAGGGGAAGTGCTTGCGTTGTGCCAGCTTCTTATCCAGGCCCCAGAAAACCTGTCAGAAGCCAGAAAGATCAACCAGTGTTCCAGATCAAAAAGAAACCAAAATAATTGAAGGCAATAAAAAAAATACAGAAAGCAAATTTGAGGAAACGCAACATGGCAAAGGCTATCACAAATTAAAGCCTGAGAGAGAAAAAGAAAGCCTTCCTTACGTTCATTTAACTGTAGCAGTGACTTTCAAACACACTTCACAAAAAATGATGCATCTTTTAAGCTGAGATCAGACTTATTCACCCTGAGACTCCCCATGAGGGACAAGTCAGCTTAACAAAGACAATGTCAATACTAGAGTCTAAGTGGAGACCTATCAGATGTAACTCCTTTTCCCAAAACAGGGCTGCAATCAGTTGCAAGACATTCTTCTCCCAGTCAGCAGCTCTGAGGAGCTTTTTGTGATTTCAATGCACCTGTAAGGGTGGCTGGCTTTCCATCTCAGCTGAGAGCAGCCACATTTGAAGTGCAGCTCAATGGGGAGCAATCAGAATGCACATGGATATTCCTGAGCAGTCAGCGTTGGAAGGAATTGCTACCTTTGCTCCCTCTTCCAAAGGGATCTCAAACACATCAGTTCAGGGACCATCTCATAAAGTCGCCTTTTACACCATTAGAACATTTTCCAAAGCACCCTAGAAACTATCTCTGTCAAATCAAAGCTCTCACACCCCAGCCACTGGCACAAATGCACTGAAGCATAATCATTCTGAGTCTAACGAAGTAGACAGAAGAGCTGTAACGTTGTGGGACATACCTGAACAATGCCCAGTGTAGCAGATGTAACAGGATCAGAGAAGTCACCACCTGGGGGAGAGACACTGAGCAGGAAGAGATAAGGAAAAGTTATCAGAGATAAAGAAAAGCTACCAGCGTTGCTTTCACAGTTTAAACTGAAGTACCGAATGTATGACTGCACAGCTCAATGATCACAGAAACCAGGGAAGTCATCACAATTTCCAGCAAGTAACAGATTGCAAGCTTCCACTGCAGAAGTGTTTGATGCATACCCACACAGGTGTAATATCAAGCACACCAGGAAATGGAGTTATATCAGTGACTGATTGACAGTATTGAGGTATGATTTCAGTCACTTTAGCTCCAGGTAGTAACTCCAGCTTGGATTACAAAACCTATCTCAACTGGAACAGATTCAGCAAGTGTGCTGACAGGACACTGTGGAACACAGTGCAATAATTATTTTACAGAAAACAACATCCCAATTTGACATTATTTCAGATATTCACCTACACAGTAACCACTTCATTTGGGCTTGAAACCCTAACATATGCCTTCCCAGAGATAAAAAAATAAAATAAAATAAAAAACTTTCAACCTCAAAAGCACAATGCATTTGTGTATGTATGTTATGGACAGCAGAAAGAACTAAGCAGAGCAAAGAATTGATGCTAGGTATTCTTGCAGATGTTAGAGCTTTCCTGAAAATGTGTCGGGGGAGGGGGGGGGTGGGGATTCACTTTGCCCACAGTGCGATATACAAATCAATATAGCCTGGAAGAACGTCTGGGGATCACATGCTTTTCACAGCCCATCACAGCTTTAGATACACTGCTCCATGTAATCTTACTCTAAGCAAGAGAATCACAATTCATTGTGCCCCCAAATGCACACACGGCTGCTTTAACTGCCCCTTCTTTCCTGCTCTGAGCATGGTTTGACATACTTTTCAGAGACAGCTCTAACGACATTCTTCCCTGAGCCATTTGCCCCAATTGCTGCAAGCAACTGCTATTCCACATCTCACAGAGCCACCTGTCCACATTCATTCTTTCTGCCCCACACACAATTTAGCGGTAGCTGAGGGTGAACAGAGACTAAATACCTACTCATTCACATATTTTTAGTTCTGCGGCTACACAGAGCAACAGGACTTTCTTTTTGCCCAAAAAATAGGTACTTTGACATACAAAAACAGAGAGAGAAAGAACTGCAGCCAACACAAAGAAAGAAATGCAACACTCACGCTCCAACAATGCTGACGCTGCCTTCTCTTTCAGGATTTCCCAGACACTTCACTCTGCCAGCTCGCTCATAGAAAGAGGCTAGACGGGCACCAAGGTAGGCTGGATAACCACTGTCTGCAAATACCAAGACACAGAAATTGAGTCAAAGGCTCAGCGTTCAAGGGATGCATTTCCAATACTAGACTGAGGAAAGACTACTCACCAGCTGGCATTTCAGCCAGTCGCCCTGAAATTTCTCTGAGGGCCTCAGCCCATCGGGAAGTAGAGTCTGCCATCATACTGACATGGTAGCCCATGTCCCGGAAATACTCAGACAGGGTGATTCCTAGAACAAAGACATCAGTGTGCTGCAGGGTACAGTTCAGAAAGGAATGCTATGCTCGCATGTTGTCATGAAGATGCAAGTAAGCCAAATTATTTAAGTTTACATTTTGATGGCAATAGACACTGAAAATTATTCTTTCTTCCCACAAGACCATGACTGTGCTGTCGTCTTTTGTTTATTTATTTCTTCTCACTCATTTTTGCTTATGAACCACTCTGGCTCATCTTGCATTGCTCTGTATTTCTTTGAGGAGACACGGCAATGACATTGATGCTACTCTTTGCCTCACTGAAGCCATGAACAAAACCTCTTCTTACTGTAAAATGTCTCATTCCCTTTCAAACTACTAGAATACTGCCGTGAGAAAAGGTCACGTTTTATCAGAGTTATCTGACAACTTCTCATAAAAAAGAATTTAAAAAACCTAAGAGGCTGCAAATGAAAGAAGACTAGCCTGACAACTCAGTACTATTCCTGCCCATTAAGTGGCTGTGCTCGTCAGCAAAAAGTTATTTACAAACAAAACCTTACATAATTAACGCATGGAGAAAAACTACATGGGAGCTTGGGCAGCAAGTTCACCTTATACGCAAAATTTACTCAATATGCGGAAATCATCATTATATACAAGCAAGCCAAATTCAATTAAGATACTAAGACTTTGTGCAGGCAAGGCCTGAAAGGGTTGACTTCTGAAACTAAGCAAGGTTCTTGGTACTGACCATCTCAGGAACTGAAAATACTAGTGCATGATGGCTTGCTTTACACACACAGCCTTTTCCAGCCTCCTGTAAATCTTACCAGTATAGATAGAGGCTTCTCTGGCAGCCACAGGCATGTTGGAGGTATTTGCTACCAGAGCTGTTCTCTTCATGATGCTTTCTACCTTGCCATCAACCTCCATTGTTAGCTAAAATGCAAGAAAAGAAACATTAAAAAAAAGGTAACAGTAGCAAGTTTTTCTGTGGGGTTTTTTTTTGGTTGGTTGGGTTTTTTTACTGTATTACTTACCTTGTGTCAGGATATTCCCCTCACAGCTACTCTACCAAGAGAAGAGACTAGATTCAAGATTTCAGGATACGATGCCGGTTTGCGTTCCAGACTGCACACAACTTAACTCTTTAATGTACATGCCTCAGCCTCATGTCATCTTCTGCAACTGGCAAATCCCTATTGTTCCCATTCAAACGGCTAATGACAAAACCACTGCATCAGGAAGTACATTATCCTCTGTCAGCTTACTAGGCTGGAAGAGCCAAAAATTTTAGCCTCCTGTTAGGAGGCTAGGAAGTTAGTCCGTTAGGAATATGAGAGCTTTTTTCCCCCACCTACACCAATCCGAATTAGTCTTTGACAACTGGACATAAAATCACATACATAACACAGGTGAAGCCTCACAAGCCCCTGAACAACAGAATGCATATCCTGACATTCGCATAGAATCTCACTTAAATATCCCGGGATTTACCTTTTTTGTGGCCACCTCAGCTTGACTTTCTCATCTTGTAATCAATCAACACACCCAAGCCTTTACCCCTTATTTCTGACAATGGAGTTTCAACCTAACAGTTCAGACTACCTGGCTTCTTTCCCATATCTTAAGGAAGACGGTGGCACAACTAATTCACTAACATATAACAACAGGTAGAAGGATTGGTAAACCTACTGCATTTTTATTTTATTTTTTTTTAAACCAGGTGTTTTCTAGTTCCTTCAGAAGATATTTCAAAGCCTGACAGGTCAAACTAATATCTGGTAACTGTATCACCACCATGCACTCTGTAAATACAGATACTGCATTTGCTATTCATACTTAAGTTAGAAAAGTTAGAGACATTACCAGTGAAAGGTAAGGTGCTTATAACTGTGCCAAATTACACCCTACTATTCATTTTGGCTTTATTTTAAACAAGTTAGAAGGTATACCCAAAAACTAGTTCAGATGTGTACTGAGGGGCCACTGAAATAATTCTTGAACAAGCCAAAAGGGATTTCTGCTACTACAGCCAGAACTCACAGCGGGAAGGCAAGAAGATAGTTTCAAGTCACTCTACCAATACGGTATTTTATTCAGTTACAGTATCAGTACAACAGCAAGTCTTTCCAAGATGGTTTACTCTCCATGAATTCTCCATACTAACCTCAGGGAAATCTCTCAGTACTTCAGACATTTCATTTCCTCGTTCTCCACAGCCTACATAAATGATGACATCACTGTTGGAGTATTTTGAGAGAGACTGTGAGATCACAGTCTTCCCACAACCGAATGCCCCAGGAATCGCTGTTGTACCCCCTTGTACACACCTGAGTAAAGAAAAAGGACTCTGATTTGCAAGCAACTCAAAAACACCTGTCTCCCATCTTAGAATACATTTTCCAATAAAACTCCCTAATTAAAAGTAGAGCGACAGGAGTCACGTTCAGTGTTCTGGGGGAGAAGCACAGAGGTATTTCACTAAACCAAAAGACATCTTTTTCTTCTACTGCCCTTGAAGTACATGAGTTATGCTGGTACAACAGCTAGACTTTCAAGCCTGAAACATAGCAGTTTTCACAGATGGAAGCACTGATGGAATGAAAGTGCTACGAAAAGTACAATTGTACTTAGCTGTGCATTATAAGGATAAGTAGCACAATATTTTAGGACCAAAATTAATGAGTTCAGTGTCTTGGAAGCTAGCTGCTTAAATGAGCATTTTGTGTTACAGTTCAGTGCAACCGTTTTCGTAAATGGTGACCCCAAAAGCATTGGGAACTATACATCCTCAAGACCATGGACAGAGATCCTACTTATGTATTCAAATGGAGATATCAAGCTCGAAAGTTCTAGCCTTTCTAGAGATTTGGCATGATTATGTTAAGTTTATGCTTGTCCATTCGTTTCTAGATTAATGCACTAGAACTACCTTGTTAAACTTCTCTTCGTTTTTCCACTAGTAGGTTCTCCTTTCAAATATAAAAATAAGAGGACTTCAACTAAATATTTTTTGAGATTATGCTGTGATACATAGTGAAAGCTTGGGGTCTGTTTGCCCTTAAAAAAAATTAAAGGCCCACCACTTCCTCCCAAAGAGAGATTTCTTACGTACTAGAAAATAAAAGGTAACACTTACGGAAAGAGGGCATCCAGGACCCGTTGGCCAGTTAATAAAGGATGATTGGCTGGTAACTTCTCAGTAACAGGACGGACTTGACGTACAGGCCAGACCTGGACCATAGTGAACTTCTCCTTCACACCTTCAAACTCCAGCTCTAAGACAACATCCTAACGGACAGCACCAGACATCTGAAGTAAGCAAAGAGCTCCACACTGGATCAGCACACAAATTCTCATCTCAGCTACTCTGCACAACTAGGTCTTTGATACCACCATAGATTTCTCAGAACCTCAACACGCTATCATGCCCTCCCGAGGAAAGGCTCTTTCCTTTATTTATAATGCTGCTGGGGGAAAAAAAGAGTGCAAGATGAAGCTCCAACTAAAAATATGCTTCTGAAGAGCAACTGAATTTTACATATTCATAAGATACTGTAGATCCTCAAAGAAGTCAGCAAACATGGCATTCTGAAGTGCCACTGGGAAGCTATATACATAGAAAGTAACTGCACAAGATAATCATGTAATCCCTGCAGGCAGGGTAGCAGAAGTGATCATTAACTCAGACATCCTGTTGCACGAAACACTTCTTAACTGGCATCATGCAGAATGAGTACATCAATCTTATGAGAGTGACATGGAATATACCAGCAACTGCTGTTTGGGAGACTTACCGAAGTGTCATAGTTTCCTGGAGGAGCAATGTATGTAACTGTACCCCTGTTCCGTGGGGGCAGCATGATTTTGTGTTTGATAAGGGAGTTTTCATTCACGACACCATAAATATCTCCACCAGTGATATGGCTGCCAACCTAAAATCAGAACAAGTCTATTAGTCATAACTGAGAACTCTGGTTTTAAAAAAGAACCTTGACAAAGGATTGTATAAAATAGCTATAGTTATTAAGTCTAGCACTGTGATTACTTCCTTTAGAAACAATGTTGTTACAGTACAGTAACCCATTTACATAACTCATTACACTAACAGCACATTGCTAGCAACGCTATCTGGGTTCAGGCGCCTTTCAAGGTGCAGACAGTAGCAATTACTAACTGATGCAAGGATTTTCCTCATTTCTTTTATACCTCTCAACTTAACGTGTTAAGTAGAAAAAAGATAGCATATGTTAACCTGCAGGCTTGGAAAAAAGAAGATGTCAAGGGCTAAAGCTGTAGCATTTTCCAGCTCTCAGGCTATTTTCACCATGCGCAAAATGAGTTATTCTTTTTGCTCAGGTAACACCTCCTCCTGCAAATGCTTAGTGCAATTCCACTAGCTTCTTTATGGTTTTGCAAATACATTAAAGCTTTGCAAGTTTCTCACACACAGCAGCAACACAGAGTAATTCACACTGAGTAAGTTCTGGTGATGTCCATCCCGACCTCACTCTCATACATCACTACCACCTCCTAGCACCCCTTTTCACAAACTTAATATAGTGTCCACCATAGCTCCCAGCAGTCATAGCCTTGGCACTCTGCTCCAGCTCCAAGCTCTGGGTGTAGAGGAGCAAGAAGGGGAGACAGGCTTGTCAAAACCTACCCGCAGATTTTTGGAAGGTGTGAAATCCCATTTGACATCTCGGCTCAAAGCTGACACATTGACACCTCTAGGGATATAGATACTTTTGGTCAGAGTGCTGATGTCCAACAGAGGCCTCTGGATACCATCAAAAATAGCTCCCATAATGCCAGGCCCTAGTTCCACTGACAGGGGTTTGCCAGTACGGAGTACAGGATCTCCTACAGAGACACCAGCTAAAGATTTGCTGAGGAAAAGTTCATCCAGAGAAAGAGAAAGAAACAGGGCAGAAAGCATCACATTCACAACATAACACTCTTATTACCGTAAAGTCAGAAAGGTGGTTTATTTTTATTACTGTATTACACATCATCATTTGAGAAGCACAAAGACTTTATACTAAAATCAAGCCGAAATTGCTAAGGCAACAAAGTTGCTCATCCTCCAGAGAGGCAAGCAAGGTAGGGGTAAATATTCTGCTTTATGATCATTAGTTCAAGATAACTGCATGGATGAGTCTACTGGTGTACCCAGGCAGCAGGGTGACAAAATGTCAGGCATTTCTTAAATCTTCAAACCTGGAAGACAGGTTAAGTCACACAATGTTATGAAATATGTAATTTTTCACTTCAGAATTTGCTAGAGAGCACAACTGCTTTGACCTTGAGCTTTGCATAGCCTTTTTGACAGCAGTCTAATTTTAATGAGAGTTTGTCCAAGACCAGCATTATTTCCCTCCTCTCTGATATCAAGCTATCCAGTCTATGTACTATCTACGCTCCAAGGAGGCACACTGGACTCCTCTGCAAAGAGCCAGGAGTTTGGCTGGAATACAAAAGAAACCCCCAAAACCCTATGTAAGACTCAAATGTTTAAATGAAAGTCGACTTCAGAGAGCCCCGTGACAGAGCTCTCTCATCAGGAACCTAGGAGTAAACTATACTCAAACTTCTCCCATGTACTGATGGAAGGCTACTAGATATTACAATGATGATGCCCTCTAAAAATGACAAATTATTAGGTACAGACAAGAGTTAGTCACCAGTTTACCATCCAGCCCCTCAGAACAAAGCTTTGGGAGCCAGCACAGGTTTTTTCCGACAGAGCCAACTCTTCAGTTTAAAAGAATATGACAGGGAACAAAAAAAAAAAAAGTCTGGCTTCAAGTTTTATGACTTCTTTTCTGACAGTCTCTCATATATGTGTAATAGAAAATACATTTTAAGTTAACGATTTTAGAATACATGCTGCATCCTAGCTGGCGCAAGATTCTGTAAGCATGTTGCAGAAACAAAAAAATGTAATCTATAAAGTCTAGCAAAATATTCTGCCCAGAAGGCGGCATTCTGCCCACTTCACATTTCCTATTAAGTATTATACAAGTATAGTTTTTAAAAGTAAAGGAAAAAACAACAAATACTGCTAGGTAGTTTTGCCATTTATGGCTGACATTTGTCAAACAACTTCCTTAACAAAGAGCTGTAATATTTAAATTAAAATTATCTTAAATTCTAAGGTACATATTATTTGATTTCCACTTAAAAATCAAAAAAGGTCTCCTCAGTACCCAGACAAGCACGATAAGATTTACCTCAAAACCATCAGAATTTACAGAAGATGTGCAGAAGAGATGTTTCTGCCTGCCGGCATTGGAAGTACCAAGCGCTGGTCCCAACCAGCTTTGTTCATCTTCCTGACCCTAATCACCACTGTGTTCTGGACTGCACATTCTGGCAGGCCCAGAGGGACAGTGAAAAGGATACACGTTTCTTCATACACCTGGACAGTTGCCAAATCACCTTCCAGTCGGATAATCTCCCCCACCAGTTCGCTGTGGCCTACTCGTACCAGTTCGTACATAGCAGCACCTGCCATGTTGCAAGCCGTGACCACTGCAGAAGACAGGCATAGAGGTGAATATTCATCCTGTAGCTCAGGAAATTTACTCATCAGAAGTCAGTAAGAACTGCACAGTGTAAGCCTGGTATTCCCTCAGATCAGAAGCACATTCTTGATTTCATGAACAGGGTAACTTGGCTGCCACAAATCCTGACACTTCTAGTTTAAAAGCTGAAAGAAAAAGTTTCCCTATACTTTTAACACTGTTCTTTTATGCTCAATAAGAGGACACTATCAGAACAGAGTCGTTCACAGACAATTCACGCCATCATTTCCCTTATCTATCTTAACAGATGGCAAATGCTTAGGGTTTTAGAGATGCAGTGAACTGTGACAGACATGTTACATAGGCGCTTCTGCCTTTCAGTTAGTTGGGCCACATTCCCATCTGACTAAATTAAAAACGTACAGAAAAATGGCAAAAGCTGACTGATAGCTGGTCGTTACATAAACCTGTGGTTAGGGACCAGCATTTTCAAGCCACTCAAACTTCTGTTTACCTTGGTAGCATCTGGATGCTCATATACCAAACTATTTCCATGCACAGATCAAGCCAAGGTGCCTGCTAAAGACAATACATACCCTTGTATCTAGAGCAGCAGATGCCTACAAAGCTTTTAAGGAAACACTATTTTGATGTTTTACTTTGTAGAAAAGTGATGTATATCTTAGGGCACTTAAATTAACCTTCAACAGAAGATGACTGGCTTATAGCACGTTTCGGGCCTGAAACCTCCTACTGTTTCGAGTTCGATTTCAGCAGGTCATACAAGAGGCTTAGCTGCTTTAGGACAAAATCTATTAGGTTCTTTATGTTATAATATCAATCTTGCACACAGAATTAATGTATTTACACAAAAAATATATTTTCCACTCTTAGGAAAGAAAGCTATATCAGTTTTAAATTGTTTTTAAGTCTCATTTCTGCAGTTAAGGAATTGGCAGTTAAAGAACAGGCATTTATTTAGGTAGACATGAGCCAAAGGAGTTTCTTACTCATCAAATAAGCTGCATTAACAAAAATACATGCTATTCTATTCCTCTCACATTTGCATTCTTTCCTTCATCTCTTGAAGAGAGTGCAGGAGGGAGCAGAAAAGCCAGTACAGCCTGCACGTATTCAAAAGCTGTTACCATCAGAGCCTAAAGAAAATATTTAAGCCGATAAAGAAAGAGTCCTCATCCTCCCAGTTGCACTACCACCACCCTCTGCCACCTTTGCTGACTGTTGCAGCTCCCCACTGAGCTCCTCCAGCCCGTGGTGCAGTAACACGGAACAGCTTAATACTGGCAGAGGACTGAGTATTCCAGAAAGCACGGGGTCAAACCGCATTTTTCAGTGAGAATGCACTATGTATCTCACACCTTTTTAGAGAAGCTTAATACACTGGGCCTGCACATTTCTGACCAAGTGGATTTATTTCACCCAGAAAGTTTACTACCTTTTGTTTTTATTGTTATTATTATTCATTAGTCTGCTTCTGCTCATTACATCTTTCCATAAGATTAATTAGCAGTAACATCTTATTAGTGTATTTCTTAATATTTCATCAGACTGTCGGTGATCCTTCTTAAAAAGCCCCCCCCCAAGAGAGAAAAAGCCCCACCCAGAGCTCTACTGTACTTCTCCACTTCCAAGTGAACAAGATTGACAAGACACTAGATGAAACAGAACCTGTGATTTCCTTTACAAAATAATACCTACCAGGTCCCGAGACTCCATGGACATAGCCAACAAAAGCCTCTCTGTCTTCATCACAGATTTTGGGTAGCTTGGAGAAGTCCATTTTGCCTGTTCAACTGTAGAAAAGGAAAAAAGAGTCAGTTCTGAAAAACACACACATATAGTAAGTTCCTCTTCTTCCTCCCCTCTGTTCTCTCCTTGTTTCTAGTTAGAAAGAATTCTGAACTGAAGAATTCTGAACTCATATAGCCTGGAACACCTTAACCACACTGATTTTAAAGCTATAAAAAGTTAAAAAGTAACTCATAAACAAACAAAAGAACTAACATCTCCTATTGCAGAAACACAGGGGTGGAACATCACTCCATAACATGCTCCACAAAACACCACTGAGTGAAACAGTTACACTTCAAAAATGCCATAACATCTGCTGGACTATTTTCAAGCCCAGTAACAGGATATTTAAACAATGGAGAATGTCGTCTGTCTTCCACATCTCATATAACCTCCTTCAAAACATGGAGTTTTCCATTATTCTGAGTGATTTTCAGGCTACTATATGCAAACAGAGCAAGAAAACGTTCTGGGGCTGCTTTACTACAAACATTAATTCTGGAAATCCTATTTTTTCTATCTCAAGCTGCTGAATCAGTGTGTTCACAGGAAGAAACATACATTTTCACAAGCACCAGCACACAAACATGGAAGTCCTCTCTATATGCCTCACAGCTAGGTATTACACAGTCTTTACTCTCAGTGAAACCCATGGAGCATTATAGAACAATTGTGCTGAATAACGGTCAAAAACCCCAACTTGCAATAGTTAAACACTGACATCTCTTGCCAATAACTGTTTAGAGAATATAAACAACTGGCACAGCAAAAGCTGTTTTAGAAACAGACCTCCTCAATCCCCATTTGTCCTGTCATCGACAGTTGGGCTGTCCTGCTTCTGGTGCCGATAAAGAGTATGTAATGGGTTTGCTTTGCCAGCCCTTATCAGGCTGTGCGTTACCCTGGCAACTGATCAGTGTTAGAGAACTGTAAGGCAACTCTCTACCCATTTCTACTGTATCGACATATTTATGATACAGCGCTGGTGAAAAGTGTGGTATGGCAGCCCCTGCATATAATGCTCTCCGTGTACCAACAAGGCCTATCCAGCAAGAGTCCATGGTTCAGTGACATGAACCATGTGAGGCATCTGTTGACACTCACGGTCCTTGCAACAAGCTTAACCTAACCAATCTTCTGCAAGGCAGCAAATACAGAGGCATATTCAGGCTTGAAAACCTGCCCCATGTACAATGAGGAAGACAACAACTACATTGCCAACCCTTCCACCATCATTAAAGGACGCTTTTCTGCTTGTTCTTCAGGAACAGTACGTAGCTGACATTTGCTATTCTCTAGCTTTTTAATACTTTACTACAAATCCTCTGCCTCTCAGCCTCTTTACCAATCTAAATGTTTTAAATCAGTGGCTCTGCAAGAAAAGGATCTCCAGCAGTTCCAAACTGCTATTCATCCTGAATGAATAGCTTCTTCCAGGCTCCATGTCTCACTGGAGTGGATTGTGTAACATGACTACCATTGATTCATTTCACAACAGCCACCCCAATAGTTGACCATGACTCAGCCACCACCAGCCTGGAGTGGTACTGCTAACTGCTCAAAGGCTGTCTGATATCTGTTAGATCCCTCTACTCTCCATTATGACAGTTTATCCTTTAAGATGCCTGTTGTTTAGGCCCAGAAGACAATTTTAATTCCACTGTATATTTCTCAAAAGTTTCCTCTGACAAAGGGCAGAAGGGAGGTCCTCGCAAAGCAATCTGCAGTTCATGAGCAGCTGGTAAGAGCTGGTTCTGATCAGACTAACATAGCTACCTCATCTTTTTTGCTTTTAACAATTGAACATTGCAAAACTCAAGCACAATTACTGGTCATACTGAAAAAAAAAGCAGCTGGTCTTCTAAATCCTCCCAAAACATTTACTTCAACGTACCATACAGAACAATCCCTAGAATCCTACCACCAAAACCTTCTATAGAGGCACAATAAAGAGCTAAACCAAATTCTCCTAAATGAATTAGTGATGCTGTTTGGCAATTAGACAGTACAGGGTCCTATATGAAAGAGTCAGTTTATGATGGCAAGGGAAAGCAGGAAGAACACTGGCCAGTTTCAATTTAAATTAACTTTTCTTCATATCCAAAACCTGCAGGTCAGCTGACCACCACTTGAAGCGACCGTTTTATCTTTTCGGGAGGCAAATAACCTCAAAACAGTCATTTGGCAGTTAAAATGGCAACATCCTTGATGCCCAGCACCTGCCAAGCCAGCTAAAAGAGAACAGGATTCCTCTGCTAGACCACCTCGCAACACACCAATAAACCCCCTCTTAGTCCTGATCTTTAACATCTGCACCAACTGCTTTTAAGCACATACCTATTAACTACTCCAAGTGCAAAAGATGTGGTGAATTCTTCTTCATCTTTCTTTGTTCTGTTTCCTATATACCCCCAAAATACACAGTCTTAAAAAGCCAGTGCTTTCTAAAAAGTGCTCAGCCAGCCAAGCTCACCTCTTCTTTTAAGGGGCTACACATCTTTTAACATTGCATACAAATTAAGGAAAAAAACCCGCTGTTATTAATCTCTGCATAGTCTTCTTGTGCTTGTGTATTAGCACTACAGATTTTAATTTTATATGGAAAAGTCCTTGAGGGCAGAAATGTTGCCTTACCTACCCACATTGTTTTCTTTGTTAGTACTCAGATAAAACAGAATTCCCTAAAGCACGTCAGGATTTGCTGAACATAATACCATGCGTGTGCAGACAGTAGGTACTTACCCAGAAGCCATGGTAGCTAGCCATTTTAGAAATCTACTGAGCTCCTATAGCCTTTCAGAGGCCTCTTGCCAACACAGGATATTAGGCACCATTTGCAGTCCACTCCTACAAAAATCCACTAGCACACCTACACAGCATATTAGTTTAATTTTAATTCCCTTAGGAGAAAGGGTGCATCTTGTATCCTTTACAACTCATATACAGGAAACTTCCTCGTCTTAAACAGTTCAGCAGTTGATTTCAAACATACTTGTAAGCTCTAACACAGTCATATTCTGCCTAACAGTGCCAGAAATCAAAATATTACTTGCTGCAGAACTATCTCTGACTGAAAGGTGATTTATTAAAGTAATTTTATAGTGATAACTAAACAAGAAAGGGCCAATGACCTGCGTTTTCTATCTTGGTTTCTCCCCAACACAGCAATTTGGCTACACAGTAATCCCAAAAATGTAACTGTCCTGCTCTCAATGCTGGAGAAACCTGTTTTTTATTACATTTCCTTGGTTTTGCTTCAAACATTTGATCAGACCTAGAATTTACACAATGAACCACAAAGATCTCTTCAAAATTAAGACTCCAGTGAGATTTTTAGAAGGAGCCTTCTTACAGCAAGGAAGAAAATCCATTACTATTTTATCAGATAAACACAGATTCTTACCTTATTTTGCAGAACCAGGCAGAAACAAAAATCCACAGGCCCAATGAAGTAAAGCCAGAATTCCGCAGTTAAGCACCACCACTTATGAAATAATTGTCCTTCTCGTGCCCCTACACAGAGGGATGAGAAAGCCTGCTGCAGAGGGGAAAGAAATTTCTGACACACAGCAGAGGCATAACCACCTGACTTGATGAGTCATCAGTCTGTCTCTCTCCCACCAGCACCGGGATTGCCGCAATAGCAAACCCAGCTACCTAGAGCCCAGCTGAACTCCTGCCTGTGCCCTCCTTACTGCACAGGACTGAGCCAAAGAAATTAGAAAGCAGCATTCAGCATGCATATGAAGGACCTCCTACAAAACCAATAATCCCATTGTCCCAAGTGGTACATACTACTACATAAAAATCCTTGAGACACAGATGCATGCTTTCTGCTGGAATCCGTTTACCGACCAGTGCTCCAGTGTAATATATCTGCCTCAGTGAGTGCTCTATTCCAGACCTACCGTTTAACAACAGACCACACAGGGAGGCACTGAACATGCCACAATACTAATTGCTCGAGTATGTAGAACAGGTGTCGATTCCTGTAAAAACAGAGAATCTTGTGGGGCTAACTTCTGCTAATGTAAGAACTCCTTCCACCAGCTAGCAGAAGCATTGATGCAACTGCACAACATCCAACACCTTAGCGAAGCAGACTGATGTGCCACCCCGAGTGACAGCTGCTATCTCTTTTCAAAGAAAACAGAATCTGTTTTAAAAGACTGACAGGCACTGACGTTGTCCTGTGTGTTATACAGAAGACAAGCAGCTATGCGGTCTCTCCCCCAAGAAGCCGCATTGAGTTGAAGAGCTCCCTGCAGTCTCCACAACTTCTCAAGACTATCTTCACAAGTTCTAGGATTACCAACACCTCAAATCGGCACAAAAGCTTAAATATACTAATCAAAATTGTAATAAACAGCACAAGACCAGCAATTCAGATGCAGCAGCATTACATTTAATAAGTCATCAGTGCTAGGATTCATAGACTATGTGTTTTGACTTCCTAGAGTAGAAAAATGGAGTAAGAATATAAGCCCTTACATTTGATATCCAGGAAAGCTTAATAGGCATAAACAGCAAAACATAGCCAAATAAAGTTTTCCAAATAAAATCTCTCCTCCTCTTCTTTGTAAAAACCTAGACATTATATGATAGTAAAGATCACAACCCACACTGGACAATCAGATTAGAGTCGCATTTGAGTTAACGCTTTAGAATCTAGACTGCCAACATTTATTGTGTTCACCTGAGCAGACTTTGGTAACAGTGCATAAGTCCCACTGTCCAGCTGTATTAGGATGTGTTGCAAAGGCCTCATAAATTAGCAAGATAATCACTGCCATAAATCTTCTGTAACTTGGAGGGTTCATACTTCCCTTTCCAACAGAGAACATTTTTAAGAGGAAGTATAAAAAAAAAAATAGAATACAGTGCCTAAGTTACTAGACAAATGCAGAAGTTACGTAGCATTTCTGCATCTAGAATCCGGGATATTGTCCCAGAAGAAAGAGCATTCCCAGCACTCTTACACAGGTCACTTGGAAGGGAAGCCAAATAGTTTTCTCAGGAAATCTCCTGATTCATACTATGTAGAGTTATAATTTTACTATAATATAGCAGGGAAAATTACAACAGATTTCTCAGTCACCGAACAGCAGAATCACTAAGGTTGGAAGGCACCTCTGGAGATCATGTAGCTGCAACCCCCTGCTTAAAGCAAGCTACAGCAGGCTGCTCAGGGCCACGTCCGCATGGGTTTTGATTACTTCCAAGGACTCCACAGCTCTCTGGGCAACCTGTTCCATGTTCAGTCACCCTTGCTGTAAAACGTGTTTTGTCATGTTTAAAGGGAATTCCCTGCGTTTCAGTCTGTGCCCATTGCTTCTTGTTATTTCAGCAGATACCTCTGAGAAGAGTCTAGCTCCATCTCCTTTGCTCCCTCCCACTAGATATTTATATGCTTTACAAAGATTCTCTGAGCCTTCTCTTCCCAAGGCTACGTAATCCCAGCTCTCTCAACCTCTCCTCATATGAAAGATGCTCCAAACCCTTTCCAGTCTGTGCAGGTCCCTCTGTACAGAAGCACAACCCTCTGCTATATTAAATGCCTTCCAACTTTGTATCATCTGCACTCTAAGGAAACCAGACGGGAGTCACCTCCTGGCCTCAACACAATGATGTGGCTTAGTGTTCACACAGACCTCAAGAAGCCAGCTGTACCAAGCTTCTTGCCGTAAGCTCCGAGCTAGCAGTATCACTGTTTCTTAAACTCAATAATATGGACATTCTTGCATTTAATTATTCATACAATTCCAGTTGCCACATGGCACTTTGAAGCCACCTCTGCTTTCGATAGGTCAGGAATTTGCTTAAGTGATGCACACCTACATACCGTGGGATCCATCCGCAACCATACAAGACAATTCATCTTTCACACAGCTTGTTTCTTGGGTACGAGAAAGTACCTCCTTCCTCTCACATGAGGCTTGCTACTTGGAAGATGTACAGAAAAATCCAAATGTATTCAAGAAAAAAGATAGGACATAGAATTATGCTGCCACTATCAGCACAGTACACAATGGCTACAAAAGAAGACTGTGCAACATGGCAATTCATGAAGCCCATCACAAGCTCCTACTGCCTTCTTCCTCAAAACAGATGGGGACTCACCTGTGAGTATGCCAATACATACAAGCCTGATACTTCAAGCAAACATCATGGCTTGCACGAACTAAATATATATAAAATGTATTTTATTTAATACAGACATACAGCATAAGAGACTCTCCCCTACCACAAACATGGGGGTGAAGTCTGTCTGCAAGAAGTACAACCACTACAAATTGTTATTCAAGCATCCACACTTTTATTCAGAAACTTAAAAGATTCTTCCAGTTAGCCCAGAACAGGACTAGAAAAAAAAGCTGTATTTGAACATGACCAATAAGTTAGCAGCAGCAATAAAACTAGACAGAAAAGCTGGCAAGGCATTCATTGCATAACTGCTTTGATCCACTGAAGATTTGATCAGCTCAGTAGATAACTAGCCTTCTGACTTCAAACACAGTTGTCACGCTATATTTAGAATTGATAAAGATCCTAGTTTTATCAATTAAAATACTCCTGTTACTAGAGAAAACCATATTGTTCACATGAAAGAAAATATTCATCAGCTGACTGGTTATATGCTACAGAGTTTTCCATAATGAGATTTTTTTACACCAATTCTTTCCCCTCAGCCCAGAAGGCTTCTCCAGAGGAGCTCTAGAGGTGGAGATGGATGAGCCTCCCCTTATTTCTTACTTGCTACACTGCTTCACAAGTTTCCTACCGCAAAAAACTTGATGTTCTTTTCAGCCTGCCACACATTCTGCCCCTTCCTTGGCTTGACAGACTTTCACACAACAGAAAGATCTAATGCAACTGAGATCCAAGCCATAACACAGAATACTAATACAATATTCATTTGTGTGTCCCACAGTGGCCGCCTTTTCTTATCCTGATCCTGTCATCTAGCTGCTAGGGCTGAGAAGTTCTGCAGCCATTTGCTTAGTGCAATGCTCAGTCATTTCCTCTAAATGAGCAACATTTTAATGAAGTTCACTAACATTTCTGCAAAGCTAAATTCCACCCTTGCTTTTATTATGTAAAAGACACTCTACTTTCAGGTGTATTTGGCATCGTTACTTGAAATACTTCTTGTTGCTTTAACCTTTAAGATGATAAACATCAAAATGAGATGAATGCAAACCTGTAAGCAATTATAGCAGCAAACTTTACTACAGTTCAGTAGAGTCACTTGTGAATAGTTGAAGATTCTTACCTCAACAGACAAAACGCATGCCATTTCATAAAACAACTACTGATAGATTTGTAAGTCAGGCTCAGTTTTACATGCAGAAACATATTAGTAATTTGGGCTCATTAAAACACATCAGCGCATCTACAAGCCTCACCACTGCCTAACCCCTTGTCCCTAAATGTAATAGCTAAAATATTGAGTGCAAGTTTGGAATAAACGTTTCACCATTACACTTAACTTTCAGAGCAGTTTTTAAAGCTGGGATATTACGGAATCTTCAGTTTATTATGTGAGGTATTTGACAGCTAATTTGAAGAGCTGAACCAGGAGTAAGTTTGCGTGAAAGTCTTTGAGAAAGATCTAATACACCTAGCAGATAGAAGTACTCTTTTACAGCACTTCGGTATAATGAAACACCTGGTTGGAATCACAACGCACATATTGGCATTGGATTCCAGTAAAAGGAAATTACGTTGAGGTCGACTTTTCCTGTAATGGAAAACTTAATCTTTATGTTTTAAAGCAAGTTAAGCCACATTCAGAGATTTTATGTTCAATTACCTTAAGTATTTACAGCTTCTTTAGAATAGCCAGAGTCCCTCCAACATATTAAATTTTAACATTGTTTAAACTACATATTGTGGTGGTTGTCTGAATATCTACCAGGTGATGCAAATTTATCTCACAATAACAAACCCCTCAAGATTGCTAGGATCTACAGGAAATTCACATAATAGAATTGCCTTTTCAGAAGTCCTTACCAATATTATCTGCATTTAGCCAGAAATACCACTTTAGAGTTTTTTTTGAAGAGTTGCTTTTTAAAGTACTACTTTCATAGTGAGAAACAAAATCATGATACAGTGTAATAATTAGGAGGACCAAATGTTCGTCCCACTAACTGGACTTCATGGAAGATGCACGTTTCTTTTCTAGAATATTAAAAAACAGTCAAGTCATTCTTCAGACTGTTAAAGGAAACCTGCATACCTGAAAGCTTTTGTCCAGCTATAATAAACTATATCAATAAAGGCAGTTTTCTCTCTGTAAAGCTAATACCTTTTCCTACAACCTTTCTATCCCTTATCACACCCGACCATCCCAACCACAACAGGACTGCTCTTCACGCTTAGGGCACAGAACATAGACCAACATTATAGACGTTCAGACCACCTATCTTTTACATAGTCTTAAACAAGAACAACCACTCCAGTAAGCAAGCATAGCTTATAGCATCCTAAAGATAGGAC